CAGGGTTGCACGAAAAAAAAGTTGAATGGCTAAAAATATCAAAATATTCGCCATAAAAAGGTGTTTGCATTGTTCAACTTTGCATTCAACGTTTGGTTGAATGGCCTTTCAACTAATCGCTTTCAACAAAGTTGGTCACCAGCCAACATTTAGCCATTCAACTTTTTTTTCGTGCAACCCTGCGTTGAGTTGAACGCAATTGTTGAACGCAAAGTTGAATAATGCAAACACTGCTTTACTTCCAATCCAGAAGTGAAGTAAAGTCATATTCAGAATTGTACAAATCTATACTAATTATATAAAGAGAAGTCCCTTTTTTTTGTAACAGGTAATCTCGCGAACGGCTGGTCCGATTTTCATGAAATTTTGTATACAAATAGCTTTCGGTAACCACCATGTTTTAGGCTAAAAAAATTTTACATTTTTCGGGTAGGTGGACCAGGGACCGGTCTATTCGAAAAAATCTTATTATAGTCCGATTTGCTTAAAATTTAGTACGTAAGTAGCGTTTTAGCATATATTAGCATATATGACCCATTTTTTCCGGGAAGTGGTCCAGGGACCGATCTATTCGAAAAAATCGCATTTATGGTCCGATTTGCTTAAAATTCGGTACGTAAGTAGTTTTTTAGCATATATTAGGATATATGGTCCATTTTTTCCGAGAAGTGGACCAGGGACTGATTTACGGTCCGATTTGCTTAAAATTCGGTGCGCAGATAGCTTTTTGGCATGTATTAGCATATGTGATAAATTTTTTCCGTGGACCAGGGACCGATCTATTCGAAGAAATCGTATTTATGGCCCGATTTGCTTAAAATTCGGTACATAGGTAGCTTTTTGCCTGGATAAGCTTATAGATTCCTGTTTTCCAATTTTCATGCAATTTCGAATATAAATAGCTTTAAGTAACGACCATATCAAGGGGCGAATTCGTAACTAGGCAAGATTTTTTTGCGCCAATCAGAAACAACGGATACTGTCAACATATAATTATAATATATAATATATCTCAACTAATTTATATTTAGAAAGCCGTTTGTTAGTTTTCGTAAGGCTCGAGAGCGGCTGAACCGATTTTTTTGAAACTGCCACCTGCTGCACGTGTCCCAAGGATGGTTTTAGACTGAAAAAAAAAAATCTATATGTAAAGGGGGCGTGGCACTTCCCATACAAACCGAATTTCTCATGCTACATATCTCTGAAAGTGTGCATGGTAGAGTTTTGGAAATCGGTATGGAGATATACGAAATCAATCGCATACCCTTGGAGAAAAATTTTAGCTATAGTAAAAATGGGTGTGACATCTCCCATACAAACCGAATTTTTGATACTACTTATCTCTGGAAATTTTTTGGTAGAGTTCTAGAGTTTTGTATGGAGATGTACGAAATAAATCGCATACTCTTCGAGAAATATTGGAACTATTGGAAAAGGGGGCGTGGCATCTTCCATACAAACCGAATTTTTCATACTGCCTATCTTTGGAAGTGTTCATGGTAGAGTTCTGGAACTTGGTGTGGAGATATACGAAATCAATCGGACACTCATGAAGAAAGAGGGCAGCTGTTGGAAAGGAGGGCGTGGCTCCTCCCATATAAATCGAATTTTTATCCGAAATGACCGGTGACCACGTATTCCAATGACAGATGGAACTTGTATATGGACATATGTATATAGTTGAAATCAAGCCCATACTCATGGAGAAAATTTGGCTATTTGAAAAGGGGTGTGAGGCCTACGAAACTACCGACCTTTAGCTATCTTTAATATTTCTTCTGCGAGGTGTGTTTGTGAGTGAAATCCTCCTAAATGGTTGTACGGATTTTAACGAAACTTTTTGTGTATTTGAGTGGGTCTCTGGAGGTTTAGTTTCACAATTTAATCCGACAGTTGGCGCTGTAGTTGAGTTATTACTAAAAATCTTATTTATGATCCGATTTGGCTAATGTTTTAAATATGTATGCAATACTATTGCAAAAACGTGCTGCCAAGTGGTGCTGAAGTCGAGCTATTACTAAAAATAGCCAAGTGAGAAAAGGGGCCGTGAAGGTCAGATTAAATCGACCTGTTGCATCATTGAGTATATCGACGGTCCTGCGTTGCAATTGGCCCAATGGATGAGATTTTCCAATATTATTATGCGTTCAAACTTTTAAGGTACAGAACAATGATTCGCACCCA